GAATAAAAGCAGTGAGAATGGGTATCCTGGTCTTATTCCTGATTTTAGAAGTAAAGCTTTCAGCTTTTCACCACTGAGCATATTATTTGTTGTCTTGTAATATAGGGCTTGTAATATAGGGCTTGTAATATAGGGCATAACAGCTGAGGTACATTTTCTCTATACATGCATGAGTTGTTGAGAGTTTTTGTCATAAAAGGATGTTGAATTTTGTCAAATGCTTTTTTTCTGAATCTATTGATATGGTCTTATGATTTTTATCCTTCATTTTATTAATAGAGTGTATCACTTTGGCTGATTTGTGAGTGATGAACATCATATAGTTGAATATGAGGTGCATAAGGATTGAGGAGTAGCAGTTTTCAGTTACAGTTTTGCCATTAACAAACTGTATGACCTAAGAGAAATCACTAAAATTCTCTAGTTTATTTACCTGTAAGAAGAAAGAGACAATATGGAGTAGCTTACTTTGATTTCACAACCAGTAAAGATACTGTGCTCTGTGTGTGTTCTTTCAGTGCAGTTCATTTGTAAATGAAGTCAAAACCATGTTGTCAATTTAAATGTTAATGTTTGTTTTGGTTTTTAACTATTGCAATTGAAAAGAAAGTTCTAGCAATTTTGAAGAAGATCAAAGATACTTCAGCAATTAAAACGTTATGCTTTTTTTCAAAAGCATTTGTATATTTTCAAAGGCTTATCATGTATAAGTATGTATCTTTTAAGAGTAGCTATATTTCTAGATTTTTCTGAAAATGAGCAAAGGCCAGATTGACTATAGTTGGTGATTAATATCTTCTTAGGATATTGCATTATAGTCCTATAAGGGTTTTATCTATAAGTCATGTACATGTTTATTATTGTTCTGTTGTTATTTTGCTTTAGATGGTTTTATATCACCATGGAAGAAAAAGTAATGAGCATGTCTGGCTTAATTTGGCTTAGATAAGCCTTAACAATTCCCTACTTGTTTAATGTATAGTTATTAAAGATTCTGAGTTTTCATTGTATAATGATTATGTTTTGAAAAACATTTATTAAAGGTGATTATATTAAGATATTTAGCTGTGGTTAAGGATGCATGTATGTGCACACAGATGCATACACAATTTCCACAGTATCTTTTACAGTTACTAGGGGAAGGGACTTGAAAATATTATATAATAGTAAGCCAGAGAAATAGAGAACAATTTTACATACCATATTCTGAGACAGTAAAACATTTGGACTTCCTGAAATATTTTGCATCCACAATGAGGTTCCAAAGAAATGCTTCCTTTTGGTTTGGTTGCCGTTATTCTGTACTAAAACTGTTTGTGAACATTAAATTTCTTGAATCTTTATGTTTGTATCTATCACATTGTATAATGAATCATTCATTATATATTTTTCGAACTGCATTTCTCCCCTGGTAGGGGAGAAGGACTGTTGCATTTCTGTTGTTCAGACATCAAATAGTAATTACCCTTCAACTCTCCTTGTCCCTGTTACTGTGAAAGAAAATTCTTAATTTCTCTGCTGCCTATCAGAATCAGACAGTATAACATGCAAATTGGTGTGGGAAAAATGGAAATGCATGGGTGGTATTTTCTAATGCCTCTCTGTTTTCCTGCTTGCATTCAAAAAACCTGTTACCTTATGCACAAGAGATAAACTTGACATCAGCTCAGTTTCAATTTTAGTGTTTACAGACTAGGAATGTGGTTTCTTGGAGTAGTTCCATTTTAACAAAATTCTACTAAATTACAAGAAATTGGATGCCCTGTGTAATATGTGATAGAATTTTAACTGTATCACTTAGCTTAGGAAAATGAAGCAATAGACTTGTCTTGTGGAAGTTAACATTTTATTATCAGTTTGACTAGTTATATTACAATGAGGCAACCTTATTTAGTGTCCTAACATAATTTTATTTACAACCTAAAACCTATACAGAAAATTTAAAATATGACTAGGACCATCTCTTAAAAATTTTTAAACAATAATCTTTGAAGGAACACAAGAGAAGAAAAGAAATTTTCTATAGCCTTTTGGACATTTTAAAAGATTTGGACTTGAACCATTTCTGCTGTCTCCAAAGTAGTTTTGAGAGCTTAAGAAATCAATTGTAATAAATAAGGAACTGTATCCTTCGAAAGAACATTTTTACTTCAACTACTGCCCTGAGGAGATTTTTATATGTAACTCAGGTATTCACAATTTGTGAATATATAAGAGGAATTTGTTTTCTTATTATATGAGCAGCTAGAAAGATCACATATTTCCTCTTTGTGAGGAAGTCATAAAAATATGTAGGTAGTATGAAACAGCAGGATCTTTCCAGTGGTTCCTGATGGGGAGAATAAATGTAGCCAGATAAAACCCTCTTAAGCGAATAACAGAGTATAGAGACAAAGATAGAATGTCCTCTTTGGTGTTTTCTAAGGACATTGTAATCTATCTATTTCAATATTGGAGTCAAAACCATTCAGAATCAGGGCTGTAAAATTGACATATTGAACCTTTCTATGAATTAGGTGAAATAAGTGGAAAGTGAATGTTGTGCTTCAAAGGAATATAGTCAAATATCTGGAAATGGCAGTTATTATATTTAATAGATATATTTAATTGGTCAGAAATAGTTCATGCATTAATCTACCATGATGAATAGTTTCCAAGGACATTCAAATGCCCATGGCTCTTATGTTTACTTTGATGTACCAGACCTGAGTAGATGTGTGTGTTTTTTTATTGTTGTTCAAGTACAGTTGTCTCCATTTCCACCCCCCAACACTCTCCCCTGCTCAAGCCATCCCCACCTCCCACCCTCGATCCTATTCCTCTTTGGCTTTTTCCATGGGTGCTTTATACATGTTCCTTGATGATCCTTCCCCCTTTCTCCCCATTATCCCTTCCTACCTCCCCTCTGGTTACTGTCAGTTTGTTCTTTATTTCCACGTCTCTTGTTATATTTCGCTTGCTTGTTTGTTTTGTTGATTAGGTTGCACTTGTAGGTGAGATTATATGGTATTTGTCTTGCAATGCCTGGCTTATTCTCTTAGCATAATGCTCTCCAGTTCTATCCATGCTGTTGCAAAGGGTAGAAGCTCCTTCTTTCTTTCTGCTGTGGAGTATTCCATCGTGTAAATATACCACAGTTTTGTAATCCACTCACTTACTGATGGCCACCTAGGCTGCTTCTAGCACTTCGCTATTGTAAATTGTGCTGTTATGAACATTGGGGTGCATAGGTTCTTTCGAGTTGGTGTTTCAGCATTCTTAGCATACAATTCCAGTAGTAGAATTGCCAGGTCAAAAGGCAGTTCTGTGTTTAGCTTTTGAGGAAATTCCATACTGTTTTCCACATGGCTGCACTAGTCTGCATTCCCACCAGCTGTGTAGTAGGTTTCCCTTTTTTCCACAACCTCGCCAGCACTTGTTGTTTGTTGATTTGTTACTCTGCTTAGTATTATGGAAGACAGAAAAATAAATGAGATACTATAACTATCTTCAGAAAATTCTTAATACAGAAAAGTATGTAAGGCATTGTGCCAAGAATTGCATTATTAAGTATCAGAGGTGAAGATACATGGTTGTTCAAAGGAAAAATAACTGATATTTGGATGGGAGGCTCATGAGAAAGAAACATTAATGGAGGAATTAACTGTCAATTTGAGCCTTGAAGGGTTTGGAGTGATGGAGTTGGGGTTACCTTCTGGAAAGAACCATACATTAAATAATGCAGGCAAGTGCAGGAAGGATATCAGGAAAGAGAATTTGTCTGATATTTACTGGAACATGTGGTATAAGGCCTGAGGCTGTAAAGGTAGGTTGATACTAGATCAGAATCTGGGTTTGAAATGTGTTAGGTAGTCCAGAGAAAAAGGCCATAAGACTGGTTAAGTACAATCTAGTACAGTGTGTTGTAAAATGAATAAAAGAACAATTGAAGCTTCAGAGACCCTAGTTTGGAGGCTCCTGGCATATTAAAGGAAAGGTAACTATGGCTGAACTAGAATGTTCATAGAGACAATGGAAAGGAGGGCAAGGCATGTATGGGAGTCATTCCAGAATAGAATATTCATGACTGGATAACAAAAAGTCAAAGGAAGCTCTACAGGATTAGTCTTCTAGCCTTCTGCCACACATGGGACTTATCTGCTGCTGCTCACCCATGCCCACTTATCCAGCCCTAGAGACACAGGTCTCCTTGCAGTTCCTTGAATTTTTCAGGCACACTAACCACCACCTCAGTACCTGATTTGTGCTTATTCCTTCTACTGGAGAAGTCCTCATTTCCTTCAAGGCTGTGCGCAAATACCACCTTATCAAAGAATTTTTCCCTGACCACACACATTTAAAGATAACATGTTGTCACTTCTTATTCCATTTACCAAGTTTTATTTTTGTTCATAGCACCAACACAGTGACATTTTATTATATATTTATTTATTGTCTGTGTCTCTCTTTTGAGAATGTAAACTATATGAGGGTAAGGACTTAGTTATGTTGACTGTTATATCTCTATCGACTAGATCATGCTGGTACTTCATAAGCACTCAATAAATATTTATTGAATAAATAAACAAAATAAATGCAAAGGTCAAAGAGATTGGGGGGTCAAATATTATGCCAGTATTTGCAGCCTGAATGATTAAAATGGTAGTCGTGTTATTAACATAATAGGGAAGAATGGAAGAGGGGTTGATGTAGGGAAGCAGTGACACAGAGGAAGATGAATTTAGCTTATAAATTCCGGTTTAAGTATATGCTGCTGGTGAAACAACCAAGGCAAGGCTGTGGAATGGGCAATCCAAAACATGAAGAGGATACTGAGATTGAGGTAAAGATCTTGAGTCATACTCACAGAGGATGGTTGAAGCAATTGGGGTAGAAAAAAGAATGACAAGAAATATAAAGTCAGGATTGTCATATTTGAAAATAAAAATTTCATGTTCGGTACTTTATGTTTTCAGTTTACAAACATATTTATATATATTTTTTGTGTGTTTATTTCATAGCTGGGTTAACAACTTTGGCCATGAAGGTCTTGGACTCTTATTGGATGTGCTGGAAAAGCTTCTGGACAAGAAACAGTAAGAATAAACATGAAAAAAAATCACAAAAGGGGAAACGTTTAGGCACAGGATAATATGTGTGTCTCTTTTTTTTATTCAGGCAAGAAAATATTGACAAGAAGAATCAGTATAAACTTATTCAGTGCCTCAAAGCATTTATGAATAATAAGGTAAGTAGTGTTTATTTCTGCCTCTGTCACAAAAGGTGAGAGAACTTGCCCAACAGCATGAAAGAATGAAACACACAAAATAGTGTGTGCTTATTCAGTTTATAAATGGGTCTTTATGATGCAAGTTATCATGTTTCATTTAAATAGTATTTAAAATATTTTGATTTACAAAATATTGGTAGGCTTTTGCAATCATGGAAACATATAAATCTTGTTCCCAAATTAGTTAATACTATTTTTTTATGGTAGAAGAAACATTTAAATGTCATATGTTGAAAACCATTTTCTTAAGAGACTGTTTTTATTCTTTGAAAAGGAAAATTCAAAGCCATTGTTTGACTTGATCACTAAGAACATAATAAAGTTAAGATTTCTCTTTCTTTTGTGTTCAATTAATGTCAGTTAACATACATAAAAGACATTCCTGGAAAATAGTGGGGATTTTTTTTGCTTTTTTTTTTTCATTGTAAAGGACTCAATAGGTCTAGACATGGGTTTTTCTCAAAGTAGTCTTTGCTCAGGTTATGAAGTTATAGTTAGTTTTTCTATAAACTATTTTGTTACTGTCTTAGAAATGATTTGCTCTATATTTCTATAGGTAAAATACCACTAATTACATAATACTCTTTAGATGGTGTTTTAATAATCTCAAGTATTAATAGAGATAAAGAATTATTATAGTAAACAAAAACTTGCCAAATGTGAATTATAGGTATTAATAACCAATGCAATAAGATTGTTTAAGTAATCTGCAAACACTTTCATAACTATAGGGGATTATATGCAAATATATATATACAAGGTGGGGCAAAATCAGGTTTACACTTGTGAGTATGCAAAACAGTTTATTCTTGCATTATTATTTATTAATTATTGTATTATTTTCTATATGAACATGGTGGATTGACTTAGATTATTCTGAACTAAGGTTAAGCTTTAGTTAAGAGCATGTTAATGTCCTGAACATAAAGGCTCAGAATGTGAATAAATGGTGGATCTTTTAAATTACAGGCATATGTAAGAGTAGGCCTAAACTGTATTCAAAATAAAAATATACAGTGATATATCTGTTTCATGTTGAAATAAACTGTCCTAATCAAAGAATGAAATTTTCATCTTTCATCTACAGTGACTTAAATATCAAATTTGTTGGCCCCAAGGAGTTTATATTACTTACATCAAATCTCTTTTTTCTTGTACAGTGCATGTCAGAACAGGATCAAAAAAAGCCACCCATTTCTTAACTTCTTTTGCTATAATATTGCTCTGATGTTTAGATATATGGTTTCTCATAATTTCTTATATCTTCATTTTTATTTTTCAGTAGTTCCCTACATAGTAGAAAATACTTTTAAATAATAAGTGGAAATTTAAAAATTTAAATGATTTGACTGTCAGTTTAATTGATTTTTAAACTTGTTATTTTAAATTTGATAATTGCACGGTAATCATAGATCTCTGTTTTGCACCTGTGTTTTTCACTTATTTTTCTTACTATTTGTTGTCTACTAGCCACCTTTATATTTACATATCCCTTCTGTTTTCTTTGCTTCTTTTAAATTTTGTCTCTTCCATTTCCTTTTTTTTTGTTTTTTTTTTCCCTCTGTGTATTTCTTTATTATGACCTCTGGTAAAGTTACATTTAAGAGATTTGTCTATTTTTCTCCATGAATTAATTTAGAAGTTAAATTAACAACCATGAAAATATTTATATGCTTGGTACTTAACTAAAGGTTATCTTGAAATGGCAATTTTACTCTGACGAAATGTCAGATTTTATCATTAAACTGAAAAGAAGCAAATGTATTTCATAAGAAATCTGAGAAATACTTTATGGGACAATGATCAAAGAAAATATTACATTCTTACTGTAATGAAAACCCAAGTTGTGTGTTTTCTTTAAAATTTCTTAACCTATTTCATTCTTATAATGCACACTTGTACATGCATATTCAAGAGTAGAAAATAAGTAAAATTGGTGTCTTCTCTGCCTAGTTCAATGTGACACTTACTGAAATCCTAGTGCCATTTCTTTGGGCTTGTAGCTTTTGGAATGCAGCACAGCTATCTGAAAGAGGGAGGATATGAGACAGAAAGTGTAGGAACATCTGTACCAGAGGTTTATTGCTTAAACTGGCATATAGTATACAAAGAGCTTTTCAACATTTTACCCTTTTTGTTCAAGTTAATTTTTCATATAACCATATTGAATAAGTTATCCATAAATTGTAGATATCCTCAGGGAAACCCAGTGACATAAGTAGAATTACTTTAGAAAATTATATCAGTATGTGCTTTATGGGTTCTTCATTGTTGAAGAAATACTGATCATTGCCATATTTCTCCGAAATTTAATGGAATTTTTAGGCAGGCTAATGGACATCATTTCTGATCAAGGGCCATAAACTCTAAGATACAGTCATTTCAAAGAAAAAAACAAAGACAAATAACTGCTTGTTTGAAGAACATTCATATAATTAGGTAGAATCTCATTGTGAAGGTATGGGTTTTTAGAAAATCAGTGTCAAGTAGCTTTTTAAAGTTAAAGGTATGTTCCAAAAACATCTTCAAAGAAAGTATATATTTTTTTAAAGTTTGGATTACAAAGGATTCTAGGAGATGAAAGAAGTCTTCTACTATTGGCAAGAGCAATTGACCCCAAACAACCCAGCATGATGACTGAAATAGTAAAAATACTCTCTGCTATTTGCATTATTGGAGAAGAGAACATGTAAGTATTGCTGTGTTATTATATTAACTGCATGGAAAATGCCACTTGAGAAATTAAGAAATACTGCTTTTGTGTTGATTCTTTAGATAACTTGCAAACCCATGGACATGAACTAAGTGTGTGTCGGGGGGATGCTGGAGGGTAGGGGGCTGTAGGGTGGAGGAGGGATAAAGGGGAGAAAATATTGGGAAAAATGTAATATCATAATGAATAAAATATACTTAAAATAAAAAATGATATGAAATTTTAGGAAAAAATCAGCAGCATTTTTATCTTATCTGTTTACATTTTAGCTCTGTTTGATTCTTTGAAAAGTAGCTTTAAACAGATAGAAACCTAATGGGAAATTTTTCTGAGTTGGATTCAAAGTGAATGAATAGAATTTGTCTATGTAAAGTAATTACTAAAATTATAGGACAAAAATCAGAGAGTACTTTTGGCTAGACATACATACAATCACCTCTATCCCTGAATACACCCACCCTACACATATGCACATCAGAAACTTGACTTCTTTAACTAACTGCATTAACTAGTGCTTTTATTTTGCATTATTATGTATAGCTTTATTTTACTTTACCTGTCTATGGTAATGGGAAAGATAAAGCAGTTATTTGTGGAATGAAATAAACTGACCTGTTAAAAAGAAATAACAAGGCTCTTGTCAGTTTTTCAGTGTATGTAAAAATGCCAGTTTTAGCGAGTCATTGCTGACCACGCAGTAGATCATTTCTACTTTTGGAAAAAATATTGAATCAGAAGAAGTATTTTAGATTTGATGTCAATAATATGTCTAGGTAAGAAGAAACTATTGTGATAAAGAAATACCTGTGAAGGACATGGACTAAAGTGTTTCTTCTTTTATTAAATTATTTTTTTATTTTCTATTGTACTTTTTCCATTATCATTTAGTCCATCTATACTCACCTCCCAAACACAATAACCACTCTGCTATCATTGTGCATGAGTCCTTTTTCTTTTTTGCTCAATTCCTTTACTCCCTAACCTTCCCTTCCTTAGTTGTCATTCTGCTCTTCATCTGTGAGTACGTGTCTATTTTGCTTGTTAGTTTGGTTTGTTCTTTAGGTTCCATATATGACTGAAATCATATGGTATTTATCTTTCTCTGACTGGCTTATTTCACTTAGCATAATGTTCTCTAGGTCCATCCATGCTGTTCTTCCTTTTTAAAACTAGTAGTATTCCATCTTGTAAATGTCCCATAGTTGTTTTATCTACTCATTTACTGATAGACACTTGGGCTGCTTCCATATCTTGCTGACTGTAAATACTGCTGCAATGAACACACAAGTGCTTGTGTTTTTTTTGGATTAGTGTTTTCAGTTCCCTCAGATATATAGGGCCTGTGTAGAAGGCATGCAACCAGTGTAATATGAAAAACAGAGACATTTATTGAAGAAGATACAAGAAACATTGCACATAAGACAATGATACCTCAGTCCCCTTCAAAGCAGGCACCTTGGGACCTCACACAGTTCTCCCAATCCCCATCAGCTGCCCTGTCCTATTTTTCTGAATCTCATCGATGGTCTGAAATCTCTTCTCTTTAAAGGTGATTTTAGTTTTGGGAAAAGCCAGAAGTCACAGGGCACCAATTCTGGGCTGTAGGGGGGCTGAGTCACCTGGGTGATTTGATGTTTCACCAAAAAACTCTGCATGAAACGTGATGCATGAGTGGGAGCATTGTCCTGATGAAGCTGCCAATCACCAGTTGCCCATAGCTGCAGCCTTCTGAATCATTCAAATAGTTTCTGCGGAGGAATATTCAAGATGAACACAAAATTTGATGTGCATTCACTGCTCTGCTCACTCAGTCATTTTGAAATGTGAGGGCCACACAGTACACATGCTCACTCAATGACGTCTATCGCCCGTCATCCCCACTGACTAGTTCAAAGTAGTTGTCATTGTTCACACATGCACATTCCAGTCTACTCTCCTTGGCTGGCAGATTACATTGATGTGACACAAATTGTTCCTGTGATATTAACAATGGCTGGACTTTTTCAAGGCAGACCTCATATTTCCAGCAGTGGGATCATTTAGTCAAAGAGCAGATCCATTTTTATTTTTTGAGGAATCTCCATAGTGTTTCCTACAGTGGCTACACCGGTCTGCATTCCCACCAATAGTGCAAAAGGGTTCCCATTTCCACATCCTTGCCAGCACTTGTTTGTTGATTTATTGATGATAGCTATTCTGATAGGTGTGAGGTGATAATTCATTGTCATTTTAATTTGCATTTATGTGATGATTAGTGATGTTGAGCATCTTTCCATATGCCTATTGGTCATCTGTATGTCATCTTTGGAGATGTATCTATCCAAGTCTATAAATCAGTTGCATTTTTATATGCCAATAATGAACTAACAGAAAGGGAAATTAAGAAAACCATTCATAATTGCCACAAAAAGAATACAACACCTAGGAATACACCTAACCAATGTTGTAAAAGACCTGTACTCAGGAAATTATGACACTGAAGAAAGAAATTGAAGAAGATACAAGTAAGTGGAAGTACATACTGTGTCATTGATAGGAAGAATTCACATCATTAAAATGTCCATGCTACCTAAAGCAATATACATACTCAGAGCTATTTCTATCAAGATTCAGATGATATATTTCACAGAACTAGAACAAATATTTCAAAAATTTATATGGAGCACAAAAGGCTCTGCATAGCAACAGCAATCCTGAGAAAGAAGAACAAAGTTGGAGGAACCACACTATTTAATATCAAACTATACTATAAGGCCATAGTAATCAGAACAGTTTGAGGCTGGCATAATAACAGACATATAGATCAACAGAAGAGAATAGAGTGTCCAGAAATAAAATGTTGCTTCTAAACATTTTGTTGTATCAGCAGTGATTTCAATTTAAATCAGAACAGGCCTAAGCAAAGATTTAAGATTATTCTAATATATTGACTTTTTCAAACCAGCTAGAATAAAATGTTGCTTAGTGCTGACTAGTGTCCTTAGAAACCAAAAGACAAACACTAAACAAAAATACTATTATGTAGCACTAAATATTGTCTCAATGTGAATAAACTGTAAATGAGTTAACATGCAGAAGTAAGATTTTCTTAGGTTTTGTAGAAAAATTAGTCTATATATGAGTAAGAAATATTTTTCTATTTAAGTAGATTTTTAGTACTTCATTCATATCATACAACCTACTCTATTATACTTATGATTTAATTATAATGTCAGATGTAGTTTTGGAAGAGTACATAGACTTTAACTTGATTCAGACTCTATACTAAAATGACAAGTCTTCAATATTTTTTTTCAGATAACTAAGTTTCTTGTGCCAGCTAAATTATAGGTGTTTCTCTCATTACTTAGGCTTTCTCTTTCAGGTATTATTTCCTGTTTCATTTCAAAGAATGTTAATATTTTTAAGGTCTTTTTGAAAATTTTACTCATTCCAGCACTTTATTATAAAATTACAGTCAGGAGAGCATTTGAGAGCTTACTCCCTACCATGTGTCATTAGTTTGGTTCAAATAAAGTTTTGTGAAATTCAGAAAAAAAATTACAGTTGTGTTACACTTGAATAAGTTTTTAATAGTTGTAGATGCCATTCTGTGTTGAAGGGATATTAATATCTGTTACATGAAATATCAATTCCTGAAATTTTACATTTGAATGTTTATCAGTTAAGTATCTTTTTAAAAATGTCACGCAGAAAAAGTATGTTCCTCGAGATTTTTAAATTGAATTTAATTTTGATGCCCTGCAGTTATTTAAAGCCCTCAGTATTTGATGTGTTGAAATGTGCAGACAGGAACATATTTTTTTAATTGTGATGATCAAGCACCCAGAAGAAATTAGTGAAAATTGAAAGAGAATTACCCATATTCACAATGTGTTTGAGAGATGTATTTCTCATTTGTTTTCTATTTTTTTTCCTCTATAGTTTAGATAAACTTTTAGGGGCTATAACTACAGCAGCAGAAAGAAATAACAGAGAACGATTTTCACCAATTGTGGAAGGATTAGAAAATCATGAAGCTTTGCAATTACAGGTGAGTTAGTTTTATCTTACATTGCTTCTAGGATTATATTTTGAGTACTCACTTTGACATAAAGTACATTTGTGCTGACACTTAAATTGAATGGAATATAAACATGAAGTTTTTGTTGCTTAGTTGTTCCCAAAAGCTAGAAGTTTTGCCCTGCCTGGTGTGGCCCAGTGGGTTGAGTGCTGGCCTGCAAACCGAAAGTCCACTGGTTAGATTCCCAGTGAGGGCACATGCCTGGGTTGCGGGCCAGGTCCTAGTTAGGGGCTTGCAAGAGGCAACCTGTCAATGTTTCTCTTGCACATTGATGTTTCTCTCCCTCCCTTTCTACTTCTATTCCCCCTTTTTGAAAATAAATAAAATGTTTTTTAAAAGCTGGAAATTTAGCCTCTGAGAACAATTTGTTTAATATTAGAAAAAGAAACCCTGGCTGGATATCTCAGTTGATTAGAGCATTGTCTCAGTATGCCAAGGTTTCCAGTTTGATCCCTGATCAGGGAACATGTAAGAGTCAACCAATGAATGCATGAATAAGTGGGATAACAAATCAGTGTTCCTCTCTCTCTCTCTCTCTCTTCCTTTCCATCTCTGAAATCAATAAATACAAAAATAAAATTAGGAAAAGTACTTTGGATTATTACAAATGTGATTATTATGATCATTATTAATATTTGGGTAGAAATTTAGTAATTAATAAATTGCTGAAATTAAAGCCTTAGCAGTAATCAGGGCAATAGGACAGGCAGTTCAGCCAATGTCATCCTACCAAATTTTAATGGTGTCTGTGGGCTTGTTGTAGAAATTTAAGAAAACTAAACACATCTCACTTTGTGCTATTCATACAGCATTCCGGAGTCTGACTCACCAGAATAGTGGGGATTGAATTGCAACTCTTAGGACAGTGTCTATTTGATAGCCCTGTGTAGACCCAGCCTAAATGTTTTCTTTAGAAAATGACAAAGCTCAGTGTCTTAGCTGATTTCAAGAAATGACCCATATGCACAATAACTTTGTCCTTGACTGGTGAGAGCTCATATTTATTGACCATACTTACAGTGTGAGATCCTAGACTAAACATTTTAAATTGTGGCTATTACCTGATTTAACTCTCACAGCAACCCACTTATGTAGGTACTATAATTTAGTTGTGAGTGCTTAAATATTCAAATTTCTCATCTTATGTAAAACATACATTTTCGTTTCTTTTTTATTGTATTATGAATTATTGGTATCTTTTTTCACTAGACATTGAAGCTACAGAAGATAGATAAAGTGGCATGTCCAAAGAGAATATGGTAGTGTTATAAAGCTATAAGTCCTCTCCAAATATTTAATATTTGTTAATTGTTAGTTCTACTCCAACTATTCTGAGCAGTTTGGATATACTTTTATGGTGTGCCTTTTATGTCTAGTTTAATACATTAAAAATAATTGTAGTATTTACTTCCATTGTTTTTCTTTTCATAATTCACTTATTATGAAATTCATCGCTGATTAATTTAATATCTCTACTGAAAGTTATGAAAACTAACTTTTTAGATGACTTGTAAAAATTTTTGTCCTTCCTATGGTTGGCTTACTTAACTAAATTTCTTTGACTTTCAGTCATATGTAGGAGTTTGTACTTGTCTTGCAAAGTTTGTTTAGGAGGAATTAGGTTTTTTAGACATATCAAAGTTTTTATTACATCGCTCACTCAAAATCACATGGCTGTTGCGTGGTAGAGCTGTGATATGGAGCCAGGTTTTTGTGATGCCGACATTGGTATACTGAATTGTTTGACCTTTACAGTGTCACCTGTGCCATACAGTAGTTTACCTAAACAATGAGATGGGAATGACGTTTTCTAGCCTTTAGGAAGCTGGGTGAATGGAATGATAAAATGGCAGGTTGTTAATAAGTAAACATATAATAAACACATAATAAATAAGTTGAACACCTGGTAAATATCTAGGTGTTCAAGATATTGTTGTATATTTAATATAGATGTGAACATGCAAATCACAATTTGAAATTTTCTGTTCTACTGAGCTACAAAAATTAGTAATTGTATGTAGATCCTATTACTCTCAAAAGAATTTTAAGTGTGTTTTATTTGGACTATTTCATGTGAATGAAAAAATATTAACTAGAAGTTCAAAAATATATTTGGAATGCAGAATGAAAAAGAAAAATTCAAATATGTTATTTAAAAACATAACTAGTGTTACACAGTATATTGTAACACAGTGGCTTTTCTTTTTCTGTAGTATCTATCCTCAGACTTCTCAAAATGTTATTATAGTCCTGGCTGGTGTGGCTCAGTGGATTGAATGCTGGGCTGTGAACCAAAGGGTTGCTGATTTGATTCCCAGTCAGGGCACGTGTCTGGGTTGCAGACCAGGTCCCCATTAGGGGGTGCTCGAGAGGCCACCACACATTGTTGTGTCTCTCCCTCTGTTTCTCCCTTCCTTCCTTTCTCTAAAAATAAATCAATAAAATCTTTAAAAATGTTATTACAGTCTCAGGAAGTAATTCTGTTAAAATACAGGACTAATTATATTCTTAAATAGCAACTATATACCTTTTTTCTCTTTTTTTATATGTGTTTTAAAACAGGTTATTAACTTCTCACAATGGGTTTCTAGTTCTTCTTTAAAGTGAAATTTTATACCTGTGATTGGATTTTCATTACCTTCAGTTCTTCAAAAAATAGATAAGACATTAAATCATATATCTTCATATACTCTCCCTTCATTGAATTCCCGAAAGCTTAATAGCATTTTCTTTTTCTTTAATTAAATCTTTATTGTATTTTTCCATTGCCATTTATTCACCTTATATCTCTCCTCCTCCTAGCAATCACCATACTGTTGTCTATGTCCATGAGTCCTTTTTGCTCAATCCCTTCACCTCCTCACATCCCTCCACCACATGTTGTCATCCTGCTCTCAATCTATGAGTCTGTCCCCATTTTCCTTCTTAGTTCAGTTTGTTAATATATTCTACATATGAGTGAAATCATACAATATGTGTTTTTCTATGACTGGCTTATTTCACCTAACATAATGTTCTCCAGATCCATCTATATTGTCACAAAGGGTAGAATTTTTTTATGGCCAAGTACTATTCTATTGTGTAAATGTTCCATTTTTTAAAGAAAGGTTTTGTTTATTTATTTTTAGAGAGAGGGGAAGGGAGGAAGAAAGAAGGAGAGAAATATCAATGTGTGGTTGCCTCTCACACATTCCCTACTGGGGACCTGGCCCACAATCCAGTCATGTACCCTAGAGTGGGAATTGAACCAGTGACTCTTTAATTTGTAGGCTGGCACTCAACCACTGAGCCACACCAGCCAGACTGTAGACTTTTAATTGCCTACAAATATTTTATAATGGAGAACACTTTACTTCAAGTATTGGGTTGGTTAAAAAGCCTGTGTGTTTCTTTTTGTAAAATACATGGCACTCTTAAAAAAATAAAAGATAAATTTTTAATTTTTACCAGTAACTTTATTTATTTGGATATTTTGAGTATGTTGGCCATCTCCTGCATGGTATAATGTTGATTGTGCTCAATGTTTTGATTTGATTACTATCAACTACAACTGGTCTACCCGACCATGGAACATTGTCCAGTGGGAAATCTCCACAAAACTTCGCAAAGCACTTTTGACACATTCAATCAGTCAATGCACCCTCTCCATACACTGCACAAATCATTGTGGTTTTTTTGCATTTCAGCTGTGTTTTTACCTCTCTTGAAATAATAAAGCATAGTATGCCAAAAATGTTGTGTATTTTCTTCTATCTTCAATATAAAAATGGCTACACAAAAATTCACCAATTTTAATTTTTTAAATACACACTGATAGGGTAGCTGTCACAATGCAGTTTAACAAAATTGTTTCGACATTGCACAAATTGGTTTTTTATTTTTGCGTTTTAGGTGCATTTTTACCTTTCTTGAAATAATAAAGCATAATATGCCAAAAATGTTGTGTATTTTCTTCTATCTTCGGTATAAAAATGGCTACACAAAAATTCACCAATTTTGATTTTTTTAATACACACTGATAGGGCAGCTGTCACAATGCAATTTAACAAAATTGTTTTGAATGAACTTAAATAGAACTAACTGCTATTAGAGACATCTTACTTTTTGGTCAACCCAATACAATACTTTTTCATACCTATATACTTTTCCTCTTGAATGGTTTAATGTGAGCACAAAGGAGGGCACATTAGGTATGTCCTCCATAAATCTAGGAAGGCTTCAGTGAGAAAGTGGTGCTTTAGCTAGGTCTTAAAGGATAAATGGGAACCAGTAGTATGGTAGGATTGGAGACAGAAGACTTCCAGTAAGTCAAAATTGAGGTCAGAGTAGTCTGCCAGTCACTTCACAAAAGAAGACAGAGTGAGGTAATATCAACTTGCAGTTGAAAGTGATTTGTGCATACTGCAGCAGGAAAACCTAGGGTACACTGAATATAAACAATAGTTGTTTATGGAAAGAGAAAGTAGTATAGTTAACCTCCAATGATGTATTATAAAAAGAGCCCAATCTTTACAGGCTGTTGTTAGTCTAAAAGGTATCATGTCTTAATGTGTTTCAGGAGCTGTGTGCAGAAGTGCATTTAGCATGATTTAATACATTTTAAAGTGTGTTTTCTAATGTGCCAAAAATAATGATAAATTTTTTTGCATGCCATCGTTAGATATGGTACATAAAAACATAGCAGTAAGTATACATTCACTGATGTGTAATAGGTTCACTTATCCTGATTTTACCCATTGGATAGATTTGTCATTTTGGAATATAATGGAGAACCAAAAAAAAAAAACAAAACAAAAGTAAATAAAACAACCTGAGCAGCCTATAAAATGTCACCAAATTCATCAAGTTAGCTTCATGATGACAAAGACATTTTGGCCTTTAATTGGAGTCTATTAACTCTTCTTTTCTATGGTGCTGCAGTGAGCCCAGTTATTTCTTTTTTTTTTTATCCACAGCAGACTAGATGCACA